TGCTGGTGCGATGATACAGTTCCGAGTACATTAGGAGTCCTCTGGACTGCCTTCCCCAAGCAGGGGTCAGCCCAGAGTACAGGAATGATGAGTCTCTCACTGACGTTCTGCAGGGCCCCAGCAGATTCCTGCGTATCCACAAGATTTTCTCCTGGGTTTCTGTGTCCACTGTTCCTGCTACCACGGCTTAGCTGAGATGGGAAAGACAAAACTAACACTTCTTGCCAGGGAGGAGGATGGTTTCCTGCTGCCTTTGAAATTCTCTGCAGTGTTATCTCAAGGCATCATCTTATCTCTTTGATCTGTAGTCACTTTGGGGGAATCCAACAGAAGCAGAGGCATTCTGCATTTAATTCCACCTGGGCCTTCCTGAAAGGCGGCCCAGGAAATGATTATGCCCCACATACCCGTGGGCAGGCAGGAGATGCACTGGGAGAAGAAAGACAGTGGTGTCAGGTACACAGTGTCATGCACAAGGTTACAGCTTGCTTTATGACTTGCCTAGAAAGGAAAAGAACAGGATTTGGATCTTGTCTCTTTGCTTCCTCACGAGGGGCTTTGGAGCAGGCAACTTAGATTCCCCAGAGTCTCCTTTCTTCATCTGCAAGTCTGAAAGGAGAATGCTTGCCTCCTGCAGTTGTTTAGAAGGCTAAAAAAGATCAAAGCACCTAACAGCCTGGCCAATGCCTGGCACACAATTAGGAGCTCCCTGCTCCAGGCGACTCCTCTTCCAGTTCATGTTGTGCAAGGCTTGCCACATTCATCTTCTAGAGCAGATCTCCAATTATGTCACATCCTGCTCAACAGCACTCAGAGGCTCCCCATTACTCATGGAACAATGACCACATTCCCCAGCCTGTTGAGGCCCACATCTCTTGTTGGGTGTGATGTCCTCCACTTCCCTCTGCACAGCTCACACACTCTGGAAAGCTGAGATCTACACTTGTTCTTTGTCATGCTTGGACCTCCCATGCCTCTCCTCCCAAATGTGGAGCACCAGCCCTGTCTCCATGCCCCCAACCTTATACAAAGTCTGCTGCAAGGCCTTATTCCACCATTTGTCTGAGTCATGGCAATCCCTATCCTCTGTCCACTCATTAGGTACTGTCTGAATCTCTCTTACAAAACTACCAAACATTATAGTTCTTTGTGGCCATGTCTTGTTTTTCTTGCCAGCCTGTGAGCTTCCCAAAAGCAGGATTTGCTTGTGAATCATCATTGCATTCTGCCCAGCAACAATCTTCAGTATATGAATGAATGAGTGACTATGAGAATGAATGAATACTGTAATCCCTTCTGAACTCAATTTCCCCTCAATGGAATGCTAGCATATAAATACTTCTTTTAAAACCTTTCCACCAACAAATGAGTATTTTATTTTCATTAACTGTCAGTCATTGTGTTGCCCACTGGAAGTACTTTGAGGAAAAAGGAATTTAGGGATGGGATTTGAAAAGGAAATAAACAGACTGAAAGATGGAAGACAAAGAGACGAGGTTTTCCCTGAAGACTTGGCAAAGATGACGGGAGAGGAGGAGTAAAAACTGTAGCTCTGCAGCTTCTTCAAGAGGGGAGGGATGATAAGGCACAGGTGAGAAGCCAAGGCACAAGCTTTGGCCTGAAGCTGTGAAGGGAAGGGAGAGATGATGGTGTTTCATAACCCAGACACAAAAAAAGGGTACTTGAGAAAGATTTCAAGTGTTTCATGCAATCATCAACATAGGCGTCACTGAATGTGACTAGGACCCCAGCAGGACCCTTGGGGACAAAGCTAACAGCTCTGTGTCCTAAAAGCCACCAGATGGTTGGCACTTGGGGAGAGACCCAGACACCAGAAAAAGTGCCTCTTCCCTTGCCCGTTGTTAGAGCCAGGAAGCCACTTTCCTGCTGTCTTTGGAACTCGAGGTGGAGTTGGGGGGTGGTGGTGGGGTAGTAAACTTCTAAAGAACAGGAAAGAGTAATAAAAATTAAAGGTATAATAGCCATTATTTCCTATTTGAAATGCGTAAAATGATAGTCATATCCTACTTAGTGTACTGCCTATTTTAATCTTGGTGAGTATAATATGATTTATAAGGACTTTTCTAGGTTTACTCCCAAACTGTCTTGTTAATTCTACTTGTGCCCATTACTTTTTCTACCCTGGCCAGGCACAGTGGCTAACACCTATAATCCCAGCACTTTAAGAGGCCGAGGTGGGCAGATCACCTGAGGTCAGGAGTTCAAGAGCAGTCTGGCCAACATGGCAAAACCCCATCTATGCTAAAAATTAGCCAGGCATGGAGGTGGGCACCTGTAATCCCAGCTACTCAAGTGGCTGAGGCTGGAAAATTACTTGAACCTGGGAGGCGGAGGTTGCAGTGAGCCAAGATTGTACCATTGTACTCTAGCCTGGGCAACAAGAGCAAAAACACTGTCTCAAAAAAACAAAATTCTACCTTGAAGGTAGTTCAGGGGCCAGTCTCCAGAGAGTACCAAAGGGAAGTCTGTACTTGGGCAGAGTCTGGTGAATGCTCCTGCCTAATAGAGTTACTCTTTATTTAGAATACTTTGCCATAAAGAAACATATTAAATGTAGATGAAGACAACCAAATTTTACAATTAAGTGGATTTTGTTTTTCATGGGAATTAACAGCAATTCCTTACCTTATCATAGACAGTCGTGTTTTCTTAGCTAGGATCCTAGATCTATCTGGCAAATATGAATTCAGGGAACTTCTCAAATAATGGCTTTTTGGGACGTTAACCTGCTACACCTAAGTGTATCCTTCATGCCTTATTCTTTAGCCTAGTGGGTCTCTTGTATAAAAAGGCATTTTGTAGTATTTTTCATGGGTAAGTATGGTAGTATGGGGCAGGAAAAGTACACGGACCTTGAAGCTTTGAGGGCCCGTGTTCAAATTCCTATTCCTCCTCTTGCAATGACCTGAGGCAAATGACCTAAAACTTTAGCACCTCCCCTTATCCATTGAACTCTTCTATATAAGGTGTAACTGTTCTGTGTAAGGTACAACCAGAACTCTTCTCTATAAGGTGTAACTCTTCTGTGTAAGGTACAACCAGAACTCTTCTATATAATGTGTAACTCTTCTGTGTAAGGTACAACCAGAACTCTTCTATATAATGTGTAACTCTTCTGTGTAAGGTACAACCAGAGCTCTTCTATATAAGGTGTAACTCTTCTGTGTAAGGTACAACCAGAACTCTTCTATATAATGTGTAACTCTTCTGTGTAAGGTACAACCAGAACTCTTCTATATAATGTGTAACTCTTCTGTGTAAGGTACAACCAGAACTCTTCTCTATAAGGTGTAACTCTTCTGTGTAAGGTACAACCAGAGCTCTTCTATATAAGGTGTAACTCTTCTGTGTAAGGTACAACCAGAACTCTTCTCTATAAGGTGTAACTCTTCTGTGTAAGGTACAACCAGAACTCTTCTATATAAGGTGTAACTGTTCTGTGTAAGGTACAACCAGAACTCTTCTCTATAAGGTGTAACTCTTCTGTGTAAGGTACAACCAGAACTCTTCTATATAAGGTGTAACTCTTCTGTGTAAGGTACAACCAGAACTCTTCTCTATAAGGTGTAACTCTTCTGTGTAAGGTACAACCAGAACTCTTCTCTATAAGGTGTAACTCTTCTGTGTAAGGTACAACCAGAACTCTTCTCTATAAGGTGTAACTGTTCTGTGTAAGGTACAACCAGAGCTCTTCTCTATAAGGTGTAACTGTTCTGTGTAAGGTACAACCAGAGGTCTTCTATATAAGGTGTAACTCTTCTGTGTAAGGCATAACCAGAGCGCTTCTATGGAAGGTGTAACTCTTCTGTGTAAGGCGTAACCAGAGCTCTTCTATGGAAGGTGTAACTCTTCTGTGTAAGGCATAACCAGAGCTCTTCTATGGAAGGTGTAACTCTTCTGTGTAAGGCATAACCAGAGCTCTTCTATCGAGGGTGTAACTATTCTGTGTAAGGCGTAACCAGAGCTCTTCTATGGAGGGTGTAACTCTTCTGTGTAAGGCATAACCAGAGCTCTTCTATGGAAGATGTAACTCTTCTGCCCAGGTGACTCCAACACTCCCATGTGGTATACTATGGGACTATTGACCCATTCCACAGAGCAAGTGCCGTAGTCCACTTTCTGCTGCTGTAACAGAATGCCACAGACTGGGAAAAAGAAAAGAAATTTATTTGGCTCACAGTTCTGAAGGCTGAGAAGTCCAAAAGCATGGTACCAGCTTCTGGTGTAGGCCTCCTGCTGCTGCTCTCAGGGCAAAAAGCAGAAGGGCGAGTGAGCACATGTGATAGAGACAAGCATGGGGGGGCCAGGCTTCCTTTATAACAACCCGTGATTGAGATAACTAACTCACTCCTATGATAATTTATTAATCCATTCATGAAGCAGAGCCGTCACAACCCAGGCACCTCCATTGGTTCCTACCTCCCAACACTACCACATTGAAGAATTTAGGTTCCAACACTTTTGCAGAACACATTCAAACCATAGCAGCAAGACAGTAAGATTCAGAGAAGGTTAGTGACTTTTTTGTCTGGTGAATCTGTGATAGAGCTGTTAACGGGGGCCACTGACCACCAACCTTAGGTCTTAGCCCCATGCTCCATTCCTTGTCTACCCCCATCACAGCATGCAGTCAAGCCTTTGTGCAAATAACACTCAGTTCCCACTTGCTCCAAGCCCTGTGCTGGGTGCTTGGGTTGTAAAAAGGGCACATCTTCATGATTTTAAGACAAGACCGTTACTCCCATAGCACAAGGTGAAGATGGGAGAAAACATTCGAGCCTCTCAGGAAGACTGCATAGAGGAAGCATTTGTATGGGATTTGCAAGGTGCTAGGACCCTACTTGCTTCTCTTCATTGCTGTGGGACCAGGAACAAGCCCCATTTTCCCATGATGTGTGTTTGCAGTGACTGCTGGGTTGGTAGGGGTGGGGGGGTCTTGCCACCTCACTCACTTGGATCTGTGTTCTCTGCTTCAACAGAAAAGATCCTGCACCGTCCTCCAGGATCCAATGGCCTTGGGGAAAGGGCTGCAGGGCCCACGGACATTGCTGACTCTTCGGAACGTGCTGACATGGAGCCAGGTCAGTCCCATGTCTTCTCTGATTTTCTGTCATTAGCTGCAAATTTGTGGCCTTGATGAGAAACGCACTCTCAGACTGAACATTTGCATGTTTCTTGGTTGGAGGCTTTTGCAGCTTGGCAGCATAGAAAGTAGAGGAGGTCTGGCCAGAGTAAAGGAGTTCCTGAAAAGGAAGCAGATGCAGTAGGACTGGCAGGTGGCAACAGCTGCTGGAAACCAAGCTGGCAGCCAGTATGGTGGGAGGGCAAGGTGGGCAAGGATCAGGTGTCCAGCAAGTATGTGATGGGGTGTGGGCAGCAAGGAGGTCCCATGTAAGTCTAGGACCACAGAGGCAGGAATGCCAATCAAGTTCATTCTGGGGTACAGAAGACCAGCGTGCAGGGCCCAGTATCTTCTGGCTACATCTTGAGCTGAGCTGGAGTGAGATCAAAGGCATAATGGTGAATGGGATTTGCATAGGTGATTGAAAGACTGACCAGAAGGCAGGTAGTCTGGAGGCCAGGTCCAGTGGCTAAGATGGCTCTCTAGAAGCTTTTCCTCATGTGGCTGTGCAGAAAAGCAATGAAAAAACAGCAAGAAACTTCGGGGTTCTGTGGGAAACCTGGAATGATGTTACAAGCTAGAGAAGGGACATGGTACAGAGAGGAGTGAAGGTTAGTCCCACTGAGGGAGGCTGAAGATTCAGAGGAAGGATCCAGGAAAAAGGGAAGTGTGCCCTTTACTGAAAACGTACTGTGAACCTACTAGGTACCAAGCACTTTTTCTTATCCTTCCAGCAATCTTTCAGGATAGAAATGTGTATCTTGTTAGGCTTAGTTATGCTGCAGTAATAAATTAACTCCAGAATCCTAATGGCTTAATATAGCAGGAGTGTATTTCTTGCTCACGCTCCATATCCATCCAAGGTTGGTGGAAAGCTTTGCTCTACCTAGTGGCTTAGGGACCAGGCTGATGAAAGCTCTGCCATATTTTAGGGATAGCACCTGGATGATTGGCCACTTGGGTCTCTGTATCAGACAAGGAAATCACTGGGTGGTTGAAAATTGACTCTTAGATGCCTTGGTCCTGAAGTGACACACAACTCGTTGCTCAGAACTAGCCCTGTTGCCCTGCCTGATTTCCTGGGTTCCAGCTGGTGAGGAAGACATGGGTGTTTTAGAAGCAGTAACTCCCTCTGCCACCGTAGATATGATTTCCATTTTGCAGGTAAGAAATTGAGGCTTAGAGAAACTGTCTTGTCAAGGGTCTTCCAAAATAAAAAGTACTAGAGTCTAGACCTTATATAACTTCTAATTAATCATTTATTTAGTTATTTGACAAAGACATATGAATGATTTACCATGAGCCCAGCACTATGTTAGGCTCTGGGGATAGCACAAGAAACAAAAACAAAGGTAGTCTCTTCCTTCACCCTGACAGGTGTGTAACTACAAACTAAGATCAATGCTCTGCAGTGGAGACATAGATTCTCTGAGGAGCTCCAATAAGACTTCTTACCTTTTGGCTGGGCATGGTGGCTCACACCTGTAATCTCAGCATTTTGGGAGGCCAAGGTGGGCAGATTACTTGAGGTCAGGAGTTTGAGACCAGCCTGGCCAACATGGTAAAACCCCGTCTCTGCTAAAAGTAAAAAACGGTTAGCTGAGCATGGTGGCAGATGCCTGTAGTCCCAGATACTCAGGAGGCTGGGGCAGGAAAATCACTTGAGGCCAGAAGACAGAGGTTGCAGTGAGCCAAGATAGTGCCACTGCACTCCAGCCTGGGTGATAGAGACAGACTCTGTCTCAAAAAAAAAAAAAAAATTTTTTTTTTTTTTTTGCTTTCTTTAGAGGGACAGGTAAAATGGGGCCACATTTACCAAGGCACTGTGACAAGTATTTGATTGATGCATCTCATTTGACTCCCATAACCCCATAAGGTATTGTGATGACACCATCTTTTTAAGATAAGAAAACCAAGGCTCACTCAACATAGTAAGATAAAAGCTGAAAGTAAACTCTCCAACTTCATCATACTCACATGTAATAATGACATGAAAGTTAAAATTTTAAAGTCATTGAATCTAGAACTCCATCCCATCTAAACCTGAGGAGTGTGGTCTCCTCTCCCTCCTCTCCAATCCCTCTCTCTCCAGGGACTTTCCCTGGTTCTCCAACACCCAGCCCAAGAGACTCTGCTGCTCATCCACAGCAGCAGAGTCTCTTGGGCTGGGTTTTGGGGGCCTTCCACATAGTTGGTCCCATTGAACTCATCTAAACTGGAGGAGGAAAGACATTTTGCAAAAATATTAGGCTGCAGAATCTGAGTCTGGCAGGATAGAATCAAATGTGCACCCCGACACAGGCAGATTCTTCCATATGGGATGTTTCCCTTTCTCTCCAGCCTCATCTTCCACCATCCCTCCCCTTGTGTTCTGTGCTGTATATATACTGACCCAATTACTTCTGCCCCATCATCAGCATTTGTGACCTCCTCCTCTGTCCCCACACTGGTCCGAGCACCATCTCAGAGCTCAACCACTGCAGCAGCCTGCTCACCTGTCCCTAAGGCCACTTGAAGGACCCTGAGCACCAGCATGTTCACTGCTCAAGGAGCCACAGGGCCCTAGAGGTGTGGGAAAGGTGAAGCGAATGAAGGTGAGGACCCACCCTGACCACTGTGTGCAAAGGAACAGTCCTCCCAGGCCATTTCTTTCTGGGCCCCTCTTCTGCTTAAACTCTTCTCCATGGCATCTGTCTCTACCTGGTACATATATTACTAGACGAGTTTAACTCCCTATTTTCTGTCTTCTTCTATTAGAACGCAAGCTCCACAAGGGCAGGGACCTACTCTGTTGGCTCCTGTGCTGTTCTTCTCCCTGGAAAGATGCCTGGCACATAGCAGGCACCTCGTAAAGACTCAATGAGGGGAGTGTAAGAACAAATCATTGAATAGGGTCCATATGGTTACTTGTTTACATGCTACTTAATGTTCAAGCCATCCAGCCTCCACATACAGTTCTTTCCTTCTGGAATATCCCCACTGCCTTTCTCCTCCCACCACTAGCTCACTTTTCATGCAGTCACTCTGCCTGTCCAGGGGGATAAAGTCCCTTCACCGCATGACACAGACGTTAACCATCCATCTCCATGAGCCTGGGGATTTCCTGGCAAGAATAGTTCCTCATCGTTGAGCGCCCAGTGCATGACACACAGATAGGACCCAATTACTGTCTATTGTCTTGAGCCCAGTGGACCAGAACAGCATCTGGCATTGCAGCCCAGGGGTCACTTTCCTCCTCCTCTGTGAGTTCCCCTCTCCCTCGGTCAGGAGGCGGAGCCCTTGTTGCTAACTCAGCCTCCTCCTGCTTAACGGCTGGAAGATCAGGAGGAGGAGGTAAATGGGACACTAATGAAATTCAGAGCGAAAACTAAATCAGGAGGTGTTGCAAACACTGTGGAGGAGGGAGACGTGATTTAAAAGGATGTTTCCAGGGTGGGAGGAGGAAATGAGGACTGGAGAGCCCTGGAGTTAGCTTCACACGGCCTCACCTCTCACACCTGCAGTGGGATGACCCTGTGAGTCACTTTAGCTTGCAGGGGTTTCACTTTTCAGTCTTTAAATTAGGGATGTTTTCGTTGATTGACTCATTCATTCAGTCATGCCTTCCCACCCCCTTGCCAAAAAGGATCTGAGTAGGTTAACGATTTAAAATTAAGTAATTAAGACCAAGAACATTTAATGAAAAACTTAAGGTAGAAAGTAAAGGATAAAAAAAGGGAAGAAGAGAAGACAAAGACATTCTCAGGATCACTCAGAAACAGGGGATCCTGGAAAGGGTTGCAAATCAGTGTCTTGAGGATAGCCTGGGCCTTGGTGACAAGAAAATGTGGCCATGGGTGCTAAAGACCTTTAGGAATGAAACAGCTCTGGTCATGTAGTAATCATAATGGCTGTTGCCTCAGAACACTTTCAGATCCATGGTCCATTTCTTCAGTTATAAGCATTGACCATCTGCTACATGCCAGGGAACTCACATTGTGATTTTCTCACTCTCTCTCATTAAATGTCACAATACCTTTCAAGGTAGCCATGTAAAGTGCACATTAGAGTTAAGGCTACCAAGGCACTGAGAGACTAAATTGTCTATTAAGCAAACAGTGCTGGGGCGCTAACTGTCCACATGGAAAAGCATGAAGTTAAACCCTTTCCTCACACCATATACAAAAATTAATTCAAAATGGAGCCTAGTCATGGGCAGAAATTGCTGTCTGAAATGGCTGCCCAAGAACACTTACATACATACCTTGTCTTCCCCTGCCTTCTTGCCTTCTTCACGGCATGCCCTAAAGCAGCAGTGCTCAAACTCTCTCATTTCAGCAAAGCGTTTTACTCTTCAGTGTTACTGAAGACCCCAAAGGGTTTTTATTTATGTGGATTGTATCTGTCAAAATTTGCCATGTTAGTAATTAATACTGAATAAATAATGTTATAATTGTTGTCACTTATCTAAATGAAAAAAAAAAAAACATTTACTTGAACATAAATAATATATTTTATGAATAATGACTTTTCCAAAAGAAACAAAAATGAATGGAATGGCATTGTTTTACATTTTGGCAAATCCCTTCCACGTTTGGCTTTATAGAGGGATTTGTTTCTGCATTCAACCTGGAAAACTCCACCGTGAGTTTATGAGAAAGTCAGAATGCAAAGGGAAAATGATGTTGTAAGATTATTATAAATAGTTTTGACTCTACAGACTTCCTGAAAGGTTTTAGGGACCCTCAGGGATCCCTGGTGTGACTTTGAAAATTGGGTATAAAAGATGAGACTCCAGAGTCCAGTGGGGAGTGAAGAAGTCAACTGTGAATGTAGTAAAGAAAAGGGAAGTGGGAACAGTCTCAGTGGAGAGGGGACAGAGGTTCTCCTAGAGTGAAGCCTCACTGCTGTAGGGAGATCTTAGGCCTTTGCACATGGCATTCTCTTGGCCTAGAATGCTTTTCCCATCTTAGTCTGTTT